TACTTGTAATCCGTTAAAATGACAAAACAGAATTTAATGAAATTCTAATCCATAGAAGACAATGAACAATGTGTGAATTATTATGCAAGAAACAGAGTCCTTACAACAACACGGCATACATTGCTGAAACATAAATTCCTATGCCGGCGTTATTGTGTCCGAAACACCTGCGAAAATAACCTGTTCGACTTATGAAGAGTAAAAATCGGTGTTATTTACATCTCACCTTGCTAATTGTTTCCGACACAACATTCGTTTAACTCATACTTATGACCGATCTGTTTATTGTAAGGATACTTCCATTTAATATGAGAATGAGATATAATTTTTTAAAGGTTCTGTATCCGATAAAAACGGGATACCTATCTCTAAGATTACACTGTTCGTCTGGTTATCTCATGATCTGTTTTACAGATGATGTATTTTAGTTGCTGCTTTAACTACAAATACTAGAAACGGAATATTTGTTGCAATAAATGAATTGCAATAATAAGCATAGATAATGTTATATAAACCTTCATGCGAGAGTTCGATTCGCATTTTTTTTAATAATAACCTATTTTATTATATGCGTTCAATGAATGTTCAGGTTATTCACCCAAACAGGCAAAATCACATATTTTTACAAATATTTAAACTTTCGATAAAGATGAAAATTCGTTTTAATTATTATATCTGATCAATTTTGTATTCACAATGCTATACTGAATAATATTTTTAATGAAAAATGCTTAAAATATCGACTTTGTCCCTGGCACTCTGAAATGGGACATGGCGAAAGGTCATCCATCTTTTGAGTTCCATCTCAGAGTGCCAGGCACATGGTGTATTTTTCATTAGGAATATCACTAATTTTGTTTGTAATCCGTAGATATTACGTATCATGTTGAACATGCATTTCCAAACTGCATGGACACAGGCCTTCCCACCTTCCCTATGGAAGAAATCAAAAGGAAAACTGCTGCTACTACCAGTGCAGGCAGGTTAGTACAGGTTATTATAAATTTTGATCAACTGAAAATTGCTTTGAATGCGGTTCCCACTGCATCACCAAGCTCCTATAATATATTGTTACGTTTATTTGTTTTAACTCCTGGTAGAATCACCCGGACGGGCTTGTGCTGGCATGAACAGATGGTTTTCTTTGCCTTACAAATGACGCTAGAGACAATTTAAACACAAGATATCTACTTGTCCCACGACATTTAGCAGTTTTGTCATTCATAGTAAAGGTATTTTGATTTAAAAGCTATAGCGAGTATAAATCATTTCATAATGTTGTTTAGTTAAAATCGAGCTAACAAGCTAATTTAAAGTAGGTATACCTCAAGACTCACAATGTTTTCTGACGCTCTGTCTGTACAAATGAACCAAAAAGTCTCAGGAAATTTCTTCACGTGAGAAAGCAATGCCGCCCTTCATTATGAACGATAATTTGACATGCCTTGACAGCTCATATTATATATTGAAATTGATTTGTGTTCAAGGTTGAATTAATTTTGACAGAGTCAATAAGCCACTGCGGTCCTAGAGGTGATAATAGCCATTGGTGAATAGTAATTTGAAGTTCTAAAGATGAAGGATACTATAAGTGATAATATTAATTTAAAAAGTGATAATTATACTATTTTAGATGTATTGTTACTTAATACTTCTTTTACTCAAGGCAGTTGTTGGAATGAGATAGATCTGCTAATATAAATTGATTTAGTGACAAAAAACGATAGATTTCTATTCGCTTAATTTTAATTTTTATACTCGCTGTAATTACAATATATTTTAATCTGTTCTTTCGTAAGTTTTACATTTCTTTTTTTTATTCAAGTAAAAAACTAGATTAAATAATCTGTAAAATGATACTCCATAATTAACCTTCATAGCCGAGTGGCTAACACGATGGTTTCAAGGTGTCACCATCTCTATGGTGCCAGGTTCGATACCCGGCCGGATCAATGAATGAATCAATTTTTCCATTGGGAGAGCTCGTGACAAAAATGTCGTACAGTTCATTCTCCGCAGACACGTTTTGCCGATGTCAGCGCGACACGCGTAATAAATACAAGCAAATTTGCACACTTTTTGTACAACAATATAACAGATTAGCATCCACCTTTTTTGGGTTATTGTACTTTTTCACTTATTATAACGGTTTACGGAAATCAGTGTTTTTCTATATATCCAACAATTTTCAGCGTGCGTCATAAGTAAAACTAAACTGTTTAAAAACTGGGGCCACTTAAACCCATGCGAATGTACAAAAATCTTTCGAAAGTATTGGTGAACCCCAATTCTGGGCCATCAATGTTTCAAATATATTTAAAGTGGATACTATGCATATGCAAACACGTTAAATAAAGATTTTATGAATTTTATTTATAGTTTGCAAGAACATCAAAATAGAAGTGAAGTAAAAAAAAACAATAGGCATGGACAGCTAATCACAAAAATAAACATTGTGTCAAATAAATCAGAAGAGTAAAATTGTTCTAAAAAAGTATTTTATACATGAGTAAAAACTCCTTGCTCTAACAGAAAGCTTGATGTTTCAGTATTTTGAAGTACTAACACATCACTGGTATACAACACCTGGTGGCATCGGGGGTGTTAACTGACTCATTTTGAAATCTGAGCAATGTATGTGATGTTGTCTAATAATTTTCTTGTTGCCGTCTAATAATTATTTATTATTTATATCAATCGAATAAAAAAAATCTAAATCAGTTTTGGTTAGTGAAGTGATTGGTTCATCAATTCACAAAAAATATACAAATTGTTCTACTTTTTGAAGTCGGTTTTCATCAAAACGTATTTTATTTGTAGTCTTTCACATTAAATTAAATATGGCGACTTCTAGAGTCATAAACAATATTATTTATTGATGTATTTTAATGTTGAATCAACACATCATATATAATATATTTATGTGTTGATTTTCTAATGAAAGGGCTTTTAATTAGTACATTTAATCGATGTTCATAGAATAATCCATAAATTCTGAAAGAGTCAATTATCTTCATTTGAAGGTTTTATATCATAATATCATAAAGATTGTCCACTAATTAATTGCAGCGAATAGGTTTGTTAATAGAACATATTAACAAAGTTTTTTTTTATAATACTTATCTTGATATATAAATTATTTAATGTTTATTTCAATATTTGATTTACAATGAATACACTTATTTTTCCTGTATATAAATATCTCTAAATCTTACGGCATAATTTTATTAATTCAATTTCAAGTTAAAAATGATGTTACTTATTACATTTAGTATTCAAAATTATCCACAAATAGGATAGGGTTACGTAGTGGTACTGGTCAATAATATATAACCTTCTCATAAACCAATTGTAAAATCTCTGTTAGAGGTATTACTGGCTTATTATTGCCTACATAATAATGAGTAAGCAGACTCAATAAAAATCAATTTTACTTACATTTAATTTGGCAAATGTTAGTACACTACACAAAAGGGTAAAGCTACTCGTGCTGATTACCACGTCGAATCAAAAAATTCAACCACGCCCCGTATAATTTGAATTACTATTGTCGATTGTTTGAAACTTGTATTGTTTTTGGTCTTTCAGTAAAAAAATAGAGATATTAGCTACCTATGTAGATATATATCTATCTTTATTTACAAGAGTATTAACGTATTTTTATAGTATTTTTATATATATTCAAGACCATTAAATGGATGATTATTGAGAGTAGTTATTAACTATCGTGTAGTTATTGGTAAATTCAGATTTACTTATCGTGGAAAGGTTATAACAACTTTTTTTTTGCTAACTCTATGTCTTAACATATTATTTACTATAGTTGAATTGACAGATCGCTTTATAAATGCCTTATCAATAAAATCGAATTACTGAAAATCTTATTTAATTGTTAATTGACCTATCAGACTTAGTTTTTTACACAATGTTAGAGAAAAAGAAACATTTTAAATCTTATCTACCAGTTTTCTAAGAAACCTTCCTATTTTAATCTAAATGATAAACAATAATGGTTGCTTTCCATTAATAATAAATAAATGAAATCCAAATGAATGTATTTGAAGTTTAAGTTATCAAAACAGGTCACTGATTTCGTTTCAATTTCAAAGTGAATGAGTACATGAAATAAGAAGTTCATCAGTCAATACCGATAGAGCCAAGCAATAGCAATTATATCGAACAGACGAAAAACATAACAAGTCTGAGGCTTATTTAACATTCCTCTATACGAATATGGCTTTTATGGTTTGTATTTAACACGATTATTATTTTTAAGAGGTCTGATGTGACTTGCACTTTGACGGACGATCCCCTGAGGTGTCGAGGTGTCTAGTTGTCGAATAATAGATGCGTCTAGAGCGATTGATTAATGAAAGACCCGGCGAAAACAGACCAGCTACCTAATTAAATACTCGCGTCGGTAGGCTATTGTGACGTGTCAGGATTTTTATGATTAACTAGAGTTTGAGTTGTATTATATGAAAATATATGTACGCTTATTAGTATCGCGTAAGAAAGACAAATCTTTTTGAAAACTTTAGTAGTAAAAATAAATTACGTTTAAATTATGAACCTGAATCAAAACAATGCTGAACATAAATAAACAGAATCCAAAGATCCGAACGTATGGAAAGAATGCCGGACAAAAGAATGACAAAACTGATATACAACAAGGAAGTGGAAAGATGTTGAAGAAGAGGAAGGCCAAGACTTACCTCTTACCATCAAATTGATCGTGTGATGTTAGAAGCGACAAAAACCGGCAAGTATGTATGTAAACAGTAATTAAAGTGGAGGAGATGTATGTAAGAAATAGTCGGAGAGCTCGTGACAAACATGTGCAAGAGATTCCTAAACTCGTCACCAAGTATACAACCGCTTGTCCTCCGCAATGGATACTGAGTGTTGCATACTCGTACCTCAATATCCATTGCGGAGCATACTGAAACATTAAGCTTTAGAAAGCTCTCGCACATTTTTATGTGCTCACACCACAAGATATACAGCGTGAAGATGTAGTAGAATTACAATCATGTTTCAAGATCATTGTTTAGTCGACCGCGGGGTTATAATTAAAACAAATTCCAGTAAATATTTCAGCATCAATAGGGCTTGTTTAAATATCAACAATTTACCTGCTTATAAAAACAATTTCAATTCTCCAATTCTGTTCGAACTTACAAATAAAGACTATGTTAAAAACTACCGCTTTAAAAGAATGAGGTTTTTTACTAGAATACGTAAGCCAGTAGGAGCAAGAGAAATAAAATTATCATCATTAGTAGCCCATCTGTCTGATTTCATCAAAATTTCATTAAATTAAATAATCAAATTTATTTTAATGTCATTAAAATATTAAATTATACGTAGTTTAATTTTTTTTAATTTTCCGGAAGCTTTTTTCTCATTTTCTTTATGTTTTGATCACGTTACATTTCCACTCAATTTTGTAAAAAGTACAGTGTTGAACGCAGTGTCGAGCACAGCGCTGTTTCAGTATTAGAGTTTTAATCAAATAAAACCTTTGTCTTTTTCGGTTTTATTTCGGTGTTAAAACAGCACTAGCAGAGGAGCACTTGAACATAATACAATTGATTACGTGACTGTTTTGAGAAAATACTAATAGTTATTTTTCACATTTAAGTTACCATTTCTAATATATTTCATAATTATTGTTATAACTATCAACTACACAATTAGCTAACTTCCATACAAAAGTTAATGAAGGCAAAACCAGTTACCCAATGCCTATGTAGCTGTAAGTTTAAAAATGAAGAAGTATTTATGGATTAGGGAAGTATCCAAGGAAGTGTAAAAAAATATATATAAGTTAAACTTTGACACATTTCTGTCATTTTTTACCGGATAGTGACCGATATTTAGATAATAGCAACTTAAATACGGATACGATCATTATATCAAATAGACCATAGTCTGTAATTTTGTTTATTTTATTCTTTTTTACTTACCATTATTTCAAAAATGAAGGTTGCGGTTCAAAAAATAAAAATATGTTTTTGATATTAAAAGAATCACAACGAGCTACTGAATACGACGAAGACTTACTTTAATTTCTTTAAATTTTACAACTATTATAAATTGTAATAGTATGTAACGTACACTGCATAATAGGTAACAAAAATATTGGAAAGTATTTCATAGACAAACTGACTGATACTAGTGTCTGTGATCAAAGATTTCATTAATTTTATAAAAATACCTGTCTTCTCATTGACCTCTAACTGTGACTTTACCATAGATTTTACGTGGATTTTACGTATTATGGTATTTATTTTACATCAAAAAGTTCTAGGGCTTCCTTTTAATTGTTTAAATTTCTGAGGTCTAGAACATGTCTAGAATCACTGAGAGAAAGAGTAAATGTATATATAACTAAGGTTTTATATAACATGAGTAACCATGGAGTAATCACTGGCTTTCAAATTTCCCTTTGACATAACGATGTCAACAAAATTATTTGTTGTGTCCGTTTTGTGTTATGTCTCTATATTCTATAATTATGTTATTATTTGATAAATAGATAGTAAATCATAACTAAAATGGTTTACTATCACACATCAAAAAATGTTAGAATGATGCGAAATATTTTAATGGACTTTAGTGCCTCTAGTGAAGTTTCTCCTTATGAGTACATGAAGATGTATATCGATAAATGTCCTGATACCTCAGATGATTCGAAGATTTCTTGGATAGCTGAAACCTTCTTGGGTATCCAAAAACACGGACAATTCCTAAAAGAAATAGCCTCACATATGTCTAATGAACTTTCCGAAGAAGATCAAGATTACTTCATGATAATTTTTCATTCAATAATATTTCTAATAGAACCTAAAGATACGCAGCTTCTGTATAAATGCCTTTTCAACCTTAGTAAACCATTACTTTATATGTTTACTAAGTTTCTGAGCAATAATGAAGTTCTTACTTTCATCTCACAAATAGCTCAATCCATGTATGATATGAATTACATTACGGAAAAAATAATTAATCCATTATTTACCTGGCAACCATATATCAGTGAAATGGGTCATACATATGCTGAATATGTCACGAAATTAGAAAGCCGAAAATTGAAGCCTCCTACCATACCTATACAGCCTAATGTACTTAATAAAAGAACCAAAGAACATGCGGCACATTCTAATGATACACCTCTTCCAGTTACACCACCAAATTCTTTTCAAATTAAAAAAAGAATGCTTACAAAAAGCGCAATTGATCGAAGGCTTAAGAGCAGTTATGAAAAAAATAAACAAAGAGCCGCAAACGTGCTAAGTGATATAAGAAATAAAAATTTCCATTATGCTCAACCGAAATCTGAAAAATATTACAATATTATTAACAACATTAAAGGTGAAACTGAAAATGAATTTACGAAACCATTGCCAAAAAGTAAACATTCATTAACTCTAAGCACTAAGCTTCCTCCCGTTAAAGACACAGTAGCTAACTTAAAAAGAACAAATAGACGAATTCAAATCGTGCAAGCGGAAGAAGTCGAATGGTTAGAAACTTTACTAACAACATGTAGAAATACAGCTAAAATAAATGAAATGGAAGAATTCTATCGTCAAGAACGTGAAAGAGAGCGTTTACTTGATATAGAAAAGAAACATCTTATGGGATTAATTTCATATGAAGAGGCTGTTATTTCTAAAAAGAAACTTCTCGAAGAGAACAAGAAAAAATATGAAAAATTTCTTAAAGAAAAAGATATTTGGAACCAGGAAATAGAAAAATGGCGCAAATTAGAAATTGAGAAAAACCGTAAACAATTTGAAAAGCTATCGCTGATACAACTAAATTTAATTCAAGCTAGAAATGGAGTAATATCTAAAAAGAAAGAGATAGCTAATAATACAAAAAAGGAATCTGAAATGCTTATAGCCAATGCAGTAAAGGCAAAGCAAGAGGAATTAGACCACAGAGTTAAGATGATAAAAGAAATAAAAATACTTGCTACAATTGCAAAGGCAGCAAAGGTTCCTAAAATAATCGATTTGACAGAAACTTCTGGATTAGGACTACTTTGTGAAATGTCTATTGCAGAATTGCAAGAAAGATTGAGTGCTTTCAAAATTGGTTTATATGAAGAATTAGAAAGAAAGAAAACAATGATAAAACAAGATAACTTAGCAATGAAGCAAGAACTTAAAGAGACAAAATTATCAATAAACAAATTTATGGCCGAACGTGCAGCGATGCGTAAACAAAATCAAAAGTCTAAAATAACGTTTGATAATATTTCAAACAAAGAAATAAATGACTTAAAGAAAACTTTGGACGAGAAGAGAAAGCTGAGAACTCAACTTACCAAAAGCAGTTGAAATAGTTTTATTTAACGATTATTATAGTATTTTTTGTATTTAATAACGTTTTGTTCCATTAGTAAATAAACGTTTATTTTTCTCAGCTCTTTCGTTTAAACTGCTGATATCGTCTATATTTTATATGATATTTGATATAGTTGATTTAACACAATATATTGCCTATTAAAGCCGGTATTTATCCTATCATCCAAGGTGTTCTTTAATTTGGCCTCTACCTAGTTTAATTATTTAAACGGCAATAAGTAATATATTTTCAACGAATCCTGATCTAAATGCTACATTTGTATTACTAAAACATTATTGTATCCATTCCAGATATTATCTTCTTTAATCTGCTTGAATCTTATTTTTTAAATCACGATATGCAATCAAAAAAATATTAGTTATGAAAAATTTACATATTTGTCACGAGCTTTTGTAACTGTTAAGATTTTCATATTCATATATCTTAAGCATATAATTTATATAATAATATTTTATATACAAATCCTTTTTCTTCCCTATCTCCGAAGTAAGTAAATTAAAGGAGAGCGAAAAAAAACGTGTCTATAATTTATAGTCACAAACACAGTATTAAAGTTGTACTTATTATTTTTTCCATAAACAAAATGTTTTATTGAATGTGCCGGTCGGCTAAAAGAAATATGTGGTTACATTTATATGTCATATTAATAATCATACCTGAAGCAATCGAGTTAATAAAGATATAGCTCTGCACAAATTAGCATTTAAGCTTTAAAATGGATATGCCATGCAATAAATTTGTACATAGAGTTACTTGGATATAGAATCGTTACTATCTATTTACTATTAATTTTGTCATTATCTATGTAACTTATAATTTTGAATCACAAATTCTACTACACACAAATTCTTCTGGTAAGTATTTATACCAAGTTGAACTCATGATTTCATCTGCTTTAACTTCAAAAATGTGAACAACATTAACTTCTCGTTTTTAAATCAACCATTGTGAACAATATCATCGTCCACTAGTAGATCTCAGAAGATGAAGTTTTGAAATTTTTTTACACATATTTTGTTACCTATCAAATTACAAGTGCACGTGTTTAATTTATGTATAAACAAGCTATTTTCCCGCGACTTCACACACGTTAAAAAACAAATAATCAAATCTTTCCTCTTTATAAGATAAGTATTATATATATTTATAACTGTATCTATTTTAGGTTCAAGAAAATCCTTTTTGTCTGTAATTTGTATTTATTTATTAAAAATAGAAATATAATTTATATATTCCAGGAAATTTTATAAAAAAAATGTTAATTTACTATCGATATCAAAATTTAAACAATTTATAATTTGGGTTATGGGTATATCTGATAGATAAGTAAGTTTATGAAACAGAAGACTATAAGAAGCGTCCACTAATGGCATCCTTGCGGCGAAATTCGCTCGAAGCGCATGCACGAATTGGTTATTACTAAGAAAGAGATACATAGAGAATATTAATAATTGGGATTTATGGTTTTCTGTTGACAGGCCACCTGTTAAACTCGAACGAATATAACTAATTCATTCAAAATTCATTTGAAATTCCCAGTACATCATCATCAGCCGTAAGACGCTCACTGCTGAGCATAGACCACCTTCATAGATCTCCGCGATGATCAATCTTGCACTGCTTGCATCCAGCGGCTTCCTGGTGGGGAGTCCATAAGATTTATATTGTTCAATAGATTTAATTGCAAGTTGCTGACTTGATTACCAAACTTCGTATCTTTTTTAAATTAGCGGGAAAGAAAAATGTGGTCAAAAATTTTTACATATTAAATATAATATATCATACTATACTAATATTATAACGGGAAAGATATGATTGTTTGCATCGAATAGACTTCGACAGTACTAGACAGATTTCAAAAAATCTGCCACCTCCGGAAAGCTACGCGAGCCACATACATGCATGTTAATAGTATCTGCAATGTGCTGAGGAGCTGTTCGGGATGACCCATGCATATTGCTAGGCGGTACCAACCTCAATGATTTACACCGCTTAATACAGATGGATATTGACGCGGTGGGAAAATGGACACATGACAAGGGTATAGTATTAAATACAGAAAAAAACTAAAAAACACGTTGACAACGATAGTGACACAATGCAAAAAAAATGCGATTTTGAGTAATGAGCGTTTAAAGTTCAAGAAACTGTAATCAGCCCCTCTAAACGACGTATTGGCACTACGCCACCTAGAAATTTCTACGCAAGCTACGTTCACAGGGATCTTTGCATTTTAAAGCTTATACTTAACAAAGAAAAATGTTGCCAAAAGTAAAAAATACGTCGCTTTTGGTTAGTGACATTGTCATTGTCAACGTGCGATTTATTATTTTAAATTGTCATTCTCAAGCTTAAGCTCATCTGCATCACCACTACGTATATTTTCTTGTGAGTTTTCATGCATCCAATAAAAATATCATAAATTGTAAATGTAAACCAATACAGGGTGTCAATACCGTCCGTCCGTATCTGGGTATGAAAATAGATGAACACATTTCATGGGCAATCCTTATAGACTATATCTGCAATTTACTAAGGTATTGTTTGTTTGATTTGTTAAATAAATTTTATCTTCTAAGCTTCAGAGTACCAATTGGTACTTTAAGATGTATTTATATGTCTTTGGTGCACCCTAATTTTTGTTATGCACTCGATTCTTAAAACCTTTTAAGTCCTATTTAAATAAGTTAGAAACATTACAAATGAGGTTTCTTCGATTATTAGTTAGTAAAAGAAACAAAACACAAAGATGTAGAATTATAATAAATTATTTAAAATAAGTAATATTCTTCCAATATTATTGTAACATAAATTTCTCTTGACATTAAATCACCACGGCAGTATAGAGCACAACCTGGGCCATGTAGTTAATAATACAAGATCAAAGGCCACTGATAAATACAAAGTACCTAGAGTTTATACTTATTACGGCGACAGAACACTAGAAAAACGCTTACCGTATTTACTAAACGGCCTACCAGTGCCTACCCAATTAGAAACGAACCCAACAAGAAAATATTTAATAATAATAATAATTCTTTATTGAGTAACTACATAGCGTAACAAATCAATTTGCCCTGTCTCCCAAATTAGGTTGCCCTGTATGTCATATAAAATTAATTTTTAAAGATATTATATTACCAACATGAAGATTGTAAAGTTAATAAGTGTTGTATTTATGTAACGCAAACATATTGTGTGTGTGTGTGTTCAAAAATATTATTGTTAAATTTAATGTTTTTTTTTCAGCAAACAATTACAACGGCAATTAAAAAGACTCACTGCCTCCACGGTCTAATCTGGCACATGATTTTGTGAGACTATGTTATGTATCTAATTGTGTCAAGATAATAAATAAATAAAATAATAAAACATAGACTTTAATTAAAAAACCGCTAGTATAGTATAAAATGCTATAATTAATATACTCGTATTATTATGGTATTTTACACCTATATTTATGGTGTTAAAATATGGTATTTTACACCAGTAAGAATTTCTTCCTCCCGGTATAAAGAGATTTCGTATCTCTTTCGAAGATATAATAAGCAAGTAAGCGAAATAACTTCCTATACATTCCATTAATTATCGTATACCTACTCGAGTATTGAGCTTGAAATGATATACAAAAAATACATGGGAACGATACAGAATACCAATAAACAAAAATTTATGACGGCGCATAAACTTAAATATTGTTAAAACATCGTCAAGCAATAATCCGGGCTTATAATCCAATAACACGCCGGAATCGTCGTTATACTACAAATCAGGTGACAATGTATCGAGAAATGCTAGTCGATATAATTTGGATTAAAGCAATAAATAAGACGAGGTCGCCCGTTCATTTGTATCGGCGTATAATTTAAATTCTTTAACGCCAATGTTCAAGATTACGCGGCGAGATAGAGGCGGGGCGCCCGTGTCGCAGCGACAACCACCAAATAAATTTATATTTCCGACGAACACCGAACCGACTCTTCTCTTTGTAGATAATTCGGTAACGTTGAACGACTCTATTAACAGCTTCCCTTTTTGGGATAAATGTCGCTTTTGGACAGTGTTCCAGATATCTATAGTGCGGACCTTTTTGATTTGTGTAATTACTGGCTGATTGTAAGTACCCATAGGTTTTATCGCTGATTTATAATGAATAATTTGACGGATTTCTAAAAAGGAAGATATTGATTTGATATATACGTTTGTTATTTTATATGGAGCTAAATTGTTTGTGTATACGGGTCTGTATATCTGTGCACGTGTTTTGCACGAATCATTCAGTAAATTAGAGTTTTTTTTTTGTTTGTTTATTTGAGACACAGCAAAAGTATCATAAGAATCGATTCAGTAGTTTTGAAAAAATTAAAGTTTAAATTTATAAAAATAAAAAGAAACAAATAAATCAATATTAAACAAATAAAACAGAGTTTAAAAAAAGTCTTTAATAATGAACAGTACCGAAAAATTTATAAGTTAAAAATATTAACATACTGCACTAAACCCCAACTGGAATTTATTAAAAGCAATTTTTATAAATTATACAGAAATATTCGTATTACTGATTAAAATAATATAATTAAAGTCTAAACATATAGTTATAATATAGGCTAAACATAGAAAAATAAAGTAATTAAGGAGTAACTACTACTATATTATGGAGAGGTGTTAGGACGAAGCAGGGTGTTAGATACAAAAGTATATTACGCATATATTTATTACACTCGTGGTACTAAAAACATAAGAAAAACTCAATGCAAAAAAATATATTGTATATCTAAACAACACTGTAAAATTTTAAATGCACTTTCTCATAAAAACTTATACGCAAAGAACAAGTCATAAAAACATATATCCGTAAACTTTTATTCAAAAAAGGTAGACTATAAATACGGTACACCGTTTCGAGATTAAGTTGATAACAGTGAAACGTCAATAACCACCTAATTGGGAGAGAACACTTCACTGCAATCACCTAAGCGTCGACAGTGAGAAACAAATAAATATTGGAACCGGCCACGAGATAATTCCCCTGATAACTTAATGTGCTTACATTTGGAATCTGCTCATGATTTTTATGAGAAACCACGATACTATATCTGTGTCTCGTATATGAGTTAATAAGACACATGTTTGTATTTCGTTTTCCGTTTTTTTTCTAATCTTAACTACTTTATCTATTGATTGGGCATTTCTTTTAAGTCATAAATTTTGACTTATACAATGATTAGCGCCTTAATTCGTTAAAAATCTTGTTTCATATTCTAATTTCCATTTCGAACTCTGTAGGAGAGTGGCTTACTAATTTTAAGTGGCGTTTAGCCTTGGTTAGATCACAAAATTTTATAATAAGAGGTCAATATATAAAGTTAAAAATTCAAGAATTTATATATTTTTAGCTGCTTCATGATGGACCTAGTAGAATATTTTATATATTAAATTTTATCACCTATTTTAATACTTCTTTAAAATTTCGAATTAAAGTAATGATCAACACAAAGTGCGAAAAGAAATATTATTTCGTTTACTCGAAA